CTGATATCCAAAGCAGCTGTACCAGTTTGCATTCCCACCAGCAATGTAGGCATTTTCCCTTTGCCCCACAACCTCTCCAGAATAAGCTGTCATCAGTGTTTTTGATCTTGGCCATTCTGACAGATGTAAGATGGTATCTCAGAGTTGTTTTGATTTGTATTTCTCTGATGACTAAGGATGTTGAGCATTTCCTTGAGTGTCTTTCAGCCATTTTAGATTCCTCTGCTGAGAGTTCTCTGTTTAGGTCTGTACCCCATTTTGTTATTAAATTATTTGTTCTTCATGAGCAAGGAAGTCAGGACCATGAGGGGTGCACCCACCCACTGTGACAGTGGAACTGATCTATTGGGAGCTCACCAAGGCCAGCGGGACTGGGACTGAATAAGCATGGGATGAAATCGGACTTTCTGAACGTGGCGGACAATGAAGGCTGATGAGAAGCCAAGGACAATGGCACTAGGTTTTGATCCTAATACATGAACTGGCTTTGTGGGAGCCTAGCCTGTTTGGATGCTCACCTTCCTGGTCCTGGATAGAAGTGGGAGGACCTTGGACTTCCCACAGGGCACGGAATCTGGACTGCTCTTCATTCTCGAGAGGGAGGGTCAATGGACTGGGGGGAGAGAGGGGTAGGGGAATAGGGGGAGGGGGTGATGTGTGCGAGGAGGGGGAGGGAAATGGGAAACGGGGAGGAGGCGGAATTATTTTTTTGCAACAACTAAAAAAAATAAAATAAATAAAAAAAACAACAAAAAAAGAAAGTTAAAAAAATTATTTGTTCTTTTGATGACTAATTTCTTAAGTTCTTTGTATATTTTGGAGATCAGCCCTCTGTCTGACGTGGGGTTGGTGAAGATCTTTTCCCATTCTGTAGGCTGCCGTTTTGTCTTCTTGACCATATCCTTTTGCTTGCAGAAGCTTTTCAGTTTCAGGAGGTCCCATTTATTAGTTGTTTGATCCAGTTTTAAAACAACATTCTCTTATCTGTCTCCATGGCAAGAAAAATTTGAGGAGTACATCTCCATTTTTAATTTTCCCCATTATTTTTACTGTGCATAGCTGTGAGTTTTTATTTGCAGGTGGTGCAGGGTCATTGTGTGCACTTGAACGCAGATGTCAGCAGAGACAAGCTGCATTGGATCCCTGGAAATTATCATTCTAGGCAGTTGTGAGCCTGCTGGTGTGAGTGCTGGGAAGTGAACTCAGGTTCTCTTTAAAAGCAGTACACACTCTTCACCATAGAGACATCTCTCCAATCCCACATTATTTCATTTTTGGTTTTGAATTTTCTGTTTGTTTGCAACACACAGCACAGAGTCTGGTGCAGAATTTGTGTTGTGTGAATGAAGTATATTGCTTGCTAGATGTAAAATTATAAAAACTTTTCTATGACGGAAGTTGAAAAAGAACCTGGGCACACACCTGTAATGGGGGGGGCTCCAAAATGAAGAATCTGAGTTCAAGGTTAGCGTGAGCTATCCACACCTTGTCTCAAAAATACAAATAAAACAAAGTTAAAAGATCCTGTGCTCAACTATACTCAGAAAATAGGGTCAAGAGTGAAATTAATTGATGTTTAGATAAAAGAAAAGTGTTTTTTTATATTTATAAACCTGTAATTATTTAGTCAATGTTAATTAGTTTTCAAATCTCGAGTATTTTGATATTGCTTTCTTCCTCCAGCTACTGCTGCCAATTTTCCCTTAAAAATTATCACATCTTATTGCTTGCTCGGATTCCAAGCATAACTGTTCATATTTAGAAATAACAGTGTCATAACTATATAAAACTGTAATTGTTAGATTAATTAAGACGAGAAGACCACCCACTTGAGGCTTGAATGTCTCCATGTTTTTCTCCTTAGAAAAATAGATGGAAAAAGGTATAAGTCCTGGCAATAAAAAACAAAAGTCTTCTTGTTCAATCAAGACAAAATTCAAAATATTTTTTAATTCAATGCCATTTTCAAGACTGACTTGTTTTTACAAGCAGACCCAGTTAGAAGAAAGAAAGAACTTTGTCCTTGGAATTAAAATATGGTTGTCTAATATTCACCTGAAAGTTTTATATATATTTGATATGCAAAATCTTTGTCACCTCTCAAATTTTCTACACACACGCACACACATACAAAAAAAAGCCCTCTTTAGGTGGGGACTACTGGGCAGGGGCATAAGAAATGAGCAATCTCTCTCTGCCAAAACTCAAGCACTGTGTCAAGAAGCAGGAAGGTTGGATATAAGGCAAAGAGACCAGGGTCCAAGGAAAGATCAGGAGGAGTTGGCAGCAGACCTTAGTGCTCTGCCTGAAAGGAGACAGGGTTTCTGCCACTCACAGAAGAAGACTGGAGCCACCAGGATTTCATTCTCAGCTGACAAACAGTTTAATACATTCTTGAATTATATAGATAGTAAGAAGGATGTGAAAGCATTAGACTCTAAGCTGGAAAGGGGAGATCTGGCATGCTATAACTGGCAAGAGAGCTTGGCAGCCTTAGACATGCCCCGTGCCCCTGGAGATGACCCAGACAGCCTCCGACGGGATGAGAAGCCGACCCTACAGGACACTCTGGGTCCCTAGATGAAGGAACGGAGGACACTGCCATCTCCTTTAGCTTCCTTCACTGTCGCCAGAGGCTTCCAACCCTGATTGTCTGCATTGGTTGGTGTTTAGAAGCCAATCTATTTGCTTTCAATGAGCAAAATAATTTTGCACTTCAGGAGAAAGCCAAAGAAAATGAGCCTATATTATCTCACTGTTCCCTTCTCTTATCTAAATCAAAAGTTCAAAGTGAGATCCCCAGAGGACGTTTGGCAAAGATGTGTAGTTTATTCATCTCTGTAATTTCACTAGATTTTTAACCCTAGATCAAGACAAAACATCGTTCATTAAACTAAATATTTGGACAGTGTTTTCAGAGGTATTTTGTTTGGGTTGTGACGAGTCTCTCTACTCCTTTAACATTGCTTTTTACCAAATTGAGGTTTGCTCAGATCTCCTCAGCTGGCTTGCTCTTGACTTTATGAGTTAAGATATATTGAATCTGTCCCAGCCAGCTCTTCATAAGCCCTCTGGGAGATTTCTCAGACCTTCAGCACAAGGAAGAGGTTCACTTTCCTATGCAAATGATACATTCTTAATTTATTGACTGTCCAAGCCTCCGGAATACCTACTCGTGTTAATAAATTTAATTGAAAACTAAATACAGCTTTGAAAAAAATAACTTATTACAATGGATTATTTTTTCTAGTTACAAACACACTTTTTGTCTGTTTGTAGAGAGATGAGCTAAACACTGGCCTATGTATACTCCTGTCCTTTTGAAAGGCAGGTCCTCTAAAGACCCCAAAGGACCTGATGAGGAAGCCGACTCTCCAGCCTCATCAGTCATGAGCAAATGTTTAGCAGCTATCCATCATGGGCCAGTGGGACCCCTATGATATTCTGGCTCAGCGCTGTTGAGGCTAGAAGCTCCTGATGTCACCAGGACCTGTTTTCTGTCTGCTATCCAGCACTGTCATCCAACCCCAAACTGTACCAACTACCCCAGCTGCTTCTGCACTGCTAAATCTGATGGATCAATGAGAAAACAATCTCTAATCTCCAAATGAGACCTTTTAATTAGGTAAAGTCTATACATCTGAAGTGCATGATATTTAAGACCTCTAGCATCCCAGATATAAAAAAAAAAGTCACTTCAAAATTTCAAACACATTAGATCCCTTATTTGCCATGCCCTCATGAACATACTCGGGCATTACTTCGAAAAATCTACCTAAAGCTAGGCAGCTCTCAGCGAGGAAAACACGTAGCAAATTACAGATGATCTTTTTAGAAAACATTTTCATATGCCCAACACATAAACACACTTTGCTAGCAATGTGTGGATACGAGACAAGTTAGTTCTAAAAGAAGCTCAACAGAAATGTGAATTCGGACAATGCAGATGCTTCTAAAAATAACTCACAGGGCTGGAAAGGGGAGTCAGCAGGAAGTGTGCGTGCTCTGGAAACCTGACCACCAGAGTTCAAGATCCAGTACCCACAGGAAAGTAGGAAGAGAGAGTTAACTCCACAGAGTTCTTGTTGCCTGGTCTCCACATATGTACTATGGCAGATATATCCACATAAAAAAATAAAATTTTAAAACACAATTAAATTATTTACAAACTTTTTAGGGAATGGCTCAGTGGTCAAGATAAGCCAGGTTTGGTTTGTAACCGCAGTCCCAGAGGCTCCAATGCCTCTCTATACACATGGTGCACAGATACACATGTAGACGAAGCACCCATACACATAAATAAAATAAGTATCTGTCTTACTTCAGATTACCAAAACTCCGTAAGTGGGGCTCTTCGGAAGTTAATTTAGAATTCATTTTATAAGACCAGGATTATTCAGCTGCCCAAATCAGACAATTATACTATTAAAAATCTAAAGGTAATACCTTTTATGGATACTTGGGGAAGAATTCTTTAACAAAGTTTTACCAAATTAATTCAATAGCATATTTAAAAGAATTCTATGCCGTGATAAAGTGAGATTTATTCTTGAATGCAAGGATGGTTAAATACACAATTATCAATCACTGTACTATGTCAATCATATCAACAAAATACAGAGAAAATTATGATTTTTCTTAGCTGACATTATAAAAACCACTTGGCAAGACGCATGATCCCCTCGTGATGAAAACAAACGGGAGACAGAGAGGCACCCATGGCAATCAAACGTTCCTTTTGCCCAGAACAATAACTTCTGATTTTAAATTCTTATTTTATGTTTTATGGGTGTTTGGCCTGCATGTATGTCTGTATCATGTATGTTCCCGGTGCTCATGGAGTCCAGAAGAGGGACTCAGATCACATGGAACAGGAGTTACAGATGGTTGTGAGCCACTGTGTGACCACGGAGCCACCTCTCCAGCCCCTGACATGAGATGGGACTTACCTGCATCAATGAAGACCATGTTCAGTAAAAATTCCTGTGACGGGTACTTACCTTCCAGAATTTTCTTGAACTCTCTGAACCATATGTCGCAGTGGTCTTCACTCAAGTTGATAAGATCAAGCGTAGAATCCTTTAGCTTGTTTGGCTGCTCCTTCATGCAGATGAAAAGGGTGATACCCAGGAGCGTGCCTTGGCCCGACTGCTTCACAGAGCAGCGCCGCTTCAGCTTCACGGAAAATATGCCTTCCAGTTCTATGGACTCTTCTCTGCCTGGCGGGTGACACTTGGAACCTCCTAAAGAGAGATTAAACTCTCAGTCAAAACCGTTGCTTCCCTATTTCAAGTGTATAAAAATGTTTGAAACCCGCAGAATTTTAATCACTTGGAATTTTACGCTTTTGCCTTTTTTTTCAACCTCAGTCTCAGCATGAGTTAGAAATTAGAGAGATGAAAAATCAATTTCCTCAAAGATAATGAAAACCTGAAGTGCATGGCACAGAGTCTCTGTCACACAAGGCTTATGACCTTCAGAATCTTAAAAACGCACAATGTATAAACAAACATACAAATAGCCATAGACAAAGCAACCTTTTAGTAAGAAATTAGCAGCATGACAGTGATTCCTAATACTGAAAAAGTGAAAAACACAGACTTTGCTCCTGCACATGAGTCTATGATAGCTTGTTAAAGCAGAGGAAAGACCTTTAAATGTGCATATGACATGAAAGCAGAAAAGAGCGGTTTAGGGGGAAGAGACGGCAAGAAGATGGTAGAGGGGATGAAGAAAGATACTGGGGAGCCATGAATGAGAATAAAGTATACCATATACTTATATTTGCACACACACACACACACACACACACACACATATATATATATATGACTTTGTATGCTAGCTTTAAATTTTATTTAAGGGTAAAAAGTGCACGGGGTTGGAGATGTGTCTCAGAAAAGAACAGACTCTGATGCTCTTGTAGAGAATTCACAAGTCCTCGGCTCCAGTTCCAAGAGCTCCCACACCCTGTTCAGGCTTTTATGGGCATCAGGCATACATGCAGCTTCTATACATAGGTATGTAGGCAAAACATTTATACACGCAAAATAAAATAAACAATTTTTTAAGAAATTAAAAGTACATGTCTTAAAAGTTTTTAGGTTCACCTCTGACCATGAATCAGAAAACAAGTGTGGTAAATGAGCGCTTACAGGAGAATGGATTTATACTTTGAAACAACTATGTCAGACAGTAAAGAATAGCAGAGACCGGCTTGACACAATCAGAGTGCACATGAGGCTGTCCCTTGGAGTGGACACCGTACATCATAGTGTCTGGCAGGGTTTCCAGCCACAGGACAGGACAGAGGGCAGTAGTGGGGCTTATGGTCACAGCGTTGATTGAACAGGAGTGAGTGCTTCACAAGGGCCAAGCTGATCACAGATCACAGGGACCACACTGCACCCGAGAACGTTGTAGAGGACTACAGCAGCGCGGAGCTCTGGCCTGAGCCAGGAATTGCCTTGCACTGTGTGGAAGGCCAGAGGAGGAAGAGCTAGCTACTAGAGAGACTAAGTTCATAAGGCTCAGAAATCACACAGGTGTCCCTACCAGGCAAAGTAGCAGAAGACAGATATCCACGGGGCATGGGGACAGCATTTAGAAAAGTTTCTCATCAATGCTTGATTGCAGGCTGATAGGGTTCTCTTAACAAGGCTGAAAAGCAAGCCTTGGAGGAGCCACACTGTTCCCAGTAAATCAGACATGTGAGGGCATTCATGGGCACATTAAAACATCCAGTATCTCCAACAGCCAACCCCACATAATAGCATATACAAAGATGCACGTATGTGCGTGTGTGCGTACGATTGGGTATAGGAGGAAACATGAGGAGAGCTAGCACACAGGAAGGGCAGGGCTGCTGAAGCAGCAAAGGGCGGAGAAAGGCTCACGCTCTTCGGTGTCAGGGCTTCCTGCAACCTGGGAAGAAACTCTCCAATGAAGACAGGTGTATGTGTTCTGCAGGTTTAATTGCCAAGACTGCTTTCTAAGCTTCATCAAGAATGGTGACCTCATCTCCTAACCACCAAATAAAATATAGCCTGACTGACAGTGAGCACATGCAAGCTCCTGGAGGGAAAAATGGAGAAGAACATCTCTTTTCTCCATAATTAGGCAGAAGGATCAGGCAAACGAAAAGTCCATTTTTCAAACCTGTCATTTTTAGAAGGCTCAGGTTTCTGGTCTGGCTGCAATCTAGTGCTCCAATCCTTTGGTGACTTAATCAACACATTCACTGTATCAGTGCCAATGCCTTTTCTCTAAACATCCAGACATTATACGTCATAGAAAGTAAGAAACCATATGATGATAGTCGCCACCCAAACTGATCAGTAGAGTGAGCCTGTTAGACGTGAAGTCATTCACACACACACACACACACTTTTCTACAGATGCCCACCAAACACCCTCCGTCATTCAGGAGGACTTTCTTCAAGCAGAGACTTCTCACACTGCCATGCTCGGGATGGATTGTTCACATGTCAAAAATAAAGGACCTTGTGTAACTTTCATTTCTGTAGGCTATATGCATCTGCATTAACGTTTGGAAAATTAAAGCTAGACATTTTAAAGCACACAAACACAAAGACTGTCTATCACCACCTTTGCTACTTCTGATTATCTAGTCTTTCTGGCTAACTGCTTAGGACATAAACAAAAAGACATAGCTGACGAAGGAGTGAGAGGGAGAACCCCAACTGCATTATAGGCTAGAGCACAATGGACTTATAAGATTCCAAAGAATCAACTGAATCTGTAGACATAATGAAAAATGCAGACATATGTCTATATCCAAAAACACGTATAAGGAAAAAAGAAATTGCATACAAATTAGCATCTTGTACTCTGAATAAGTTAGCAACAATTGATGCCAGAATTGAAGGAAGGAGGGAAGTCATTCAAAACTGACTGGAAGACAAACCGAGTAGCGGGAGCTATGGCAAGTTCCAAGACTACATATCTTGCAGGTCTACTATCTCCCTTCAAGAATATTTATCATACGACTTTAAGCCAAAATCTCAGTAGACATTTTTCTGTTTGGATGAGCAAGGAACCAAATCAAATGATGTTCAAGTTCTCTTGGGAGAGCAGACTTCGTTAGGGAGAAAAGGTTTCTCCAAGGAAGACAACTGCCTGCCCTGGCAGGTGTCATTTGTGGAATGGCAATCTTTTCCATTCTAGAAAGAGAAACAAGTGGGCCAGAGAAATATGTCTCTGCACTTGAAAATCCACTAATGTGGCAATGGTGGTGGATCCAAACTAAGTGGAAATGAGTGAAAGGTGGTCAAGAACTTACCAATCATTTGAAGAGATGGAGCCCTATCCAATAATTATCGCAATTATATAAATTAAGTTTGAAATGTGTCAAGTATACCAAGACAGTTAGATCAAGCTAGTTGGCCTAAAAATTATTTAATCACTTTAAAGTCCCAAAGATTCATAAAGAAAAGTCACAAAGAGAGCAAAGGCCAAAGGGAGATATTTGCAATGCTTTCATGGAAAATTACATAAAAGACTCAAGCAGGCATTCCACAAAAGAAGGAATGCGAATCGACCAGCAAACATATGAAAAAGTTCAACCTCATTAGTAATCAAAGAAATGCAAATTTAAACAACAAGACACCACTCACTGCCTTTTAGATTGGCATGGGATCAAAAGTAAGGGTGGGTGATGGTATAGCTAAAGGGAAGCAGCCTTGGTGCTGGCGAGAAGGCACAAATGGAAGCTGCTGGGGAACACGTTGGGAGAACCTATCAAAAGATCTCCAAATGTTAATTGCCGCAGTACCCGTAACAGCAGAACTATCTAAGGCCACAGTAGCGTCCGACAGTTGGAGGATGGCTGATGGAATCATGGCTGCCTTCGGTAGCTCTTAACTGAACAGGTTTCATTGCTGTGTCCCCATCCCAAAAGACAGTGATGCTAAGAAGAATGAGTGCTTGCAATAAAAGCAAATTACACAGTTGTGTGTGAGTAGGGGGTGGGGCTTGATCCCATTTACATAATACTCACAAAGAACAGAAGAAATAGCCACAGGAAATAGCGAACATCAGTCACCTTTTAAGAGAGATAAGATCAGGAACATGAGGTTGAGTTTTTCTTATAAATTTTCATTAGATTTGCCTTCCAGCAAACAGCAGGACATGTAATCTTAAGCATAGAAAAGGAAAAAAAAAAATTGGGGGCATGGTGGCTCAGTGGGGAAAGAGGCTTGCCTCCAAGGCTGTCAGCAAATTCTGAGCAACTCCTGATGGGGCAACTCCTGAAAATTGTCCCCTGAAGTCCTCCTGACACCCTCACACATGCTCCCTGATGGAAGAAGGGGGAGAGAGGAGGAGGGAAGGAAGGAGGGAATGAGGGAGGGAAAAAGGGAAAACGCATGGTTTTAATCAGAAATTTTATTTTTCAGAATTTATTCCAAAAGAATAAATAATAAACACAACTGAAGTAAACGAAAGCTCCCCCAAGTGTTGTTTAGATAAAACTTGGAAACAATTTAAATGTGCAATAGTAGAATGTGATAGAAACACGTCAATGCAGCAAAAGACTATAGCACAATTACAATTTAGCCTTCCCAGTAGAAAGGGGTTCTAAAAAGCATGTTGGTATTCTTGGCTTTTAAATGTTTTTATCTTAAGGCTCCAGCCTAAATGTTTTACCATCAAAGTGGGTGGTGTTTAGCTGTACCTTTTTATTTGTTAAAGTTTGTAAGCTATAAGCCGTAAACCTACCGGCTTTAGAAGTGAGGTTAATGAAGGTCTCTTCCAGAACCCAGTGGAAAGCCCTCGGGCTAGCCTTAGGAAAGGCTAAAGGTTCTGGAGATTATCTGATGGGCTGAACTGAAAATCTTAGGTCATTATTGCTTCTCAGCCGCTACTCCAGGACACCCTTTGGACACTCTCAGGTTACACGGATACTTATAACAAACACGAGTAAAGAACAAAAGACGACAAATTTTTATGTTGCAGAAGGAAGTCGCAACTCAATAAAGACTGACCAGCTGTCTGAATCTCTGCAAGGATTACTTTAAGAATGATGTGGATTTCTTCTGTTCTACAGAGGAATCACAAAAAGGCTTCTGAAAACAAGGAAGCTATTTTAAGTGTTGGATGAGAGGGTAAGGGCTGAAATCTGCTTGAATTCTCCTCTAAGGGCCTGAGCTGACTCACTCTGGCCACTCCTGGGACAGTGCCAGTTTCTGACCCAAAGCAAAGGTTTTCATAATCACACGCGAAA